CATCGACGATTCCCTTCCCCTGGTGCGGCTGCTCCTGGACCCTGAAATCCCATTGCCAATCCCACCATTCCCATCATTCCCATCATCCCCATCATTCCAATCATCCCCAATCCCAATCCCACCATTCCCAATCCCATTCCCATTCCCATTTTTCCCACCATTCCCCCATTCCCCAGTGCTGCATCGACGATTCCCTTCCCCTGGTGCTGCTGCTCCTGGACCCTGAAATCCCATCCCCAACCCCACCATTCCCATCATCCCCATCATCCCCATCATCCCCATCATCCCCATCATCCCCATCATCCCCAATCCCATTCCCACCATTCCCATTCCCATTTTTCCCCCCATTCCCCAGTGCTGCATGGACGATTCCCTTCCCCTGCTCCAGCTCCTCCTGGGCCCTGAAATCCCATCCCCAACCCCTTCATCTCCATCATTCCCATCATTCCCAATCCCAATCCCACCATTCCCAATCCCATTCCCATTTTTCCCACCATTCCCCCATTCCCCAGTGCTGCATCGACGATTCCCTGCCCCTGCTCCGGCTGCTCCTGGGCCCTGAAATCCCATCCCCAACCCCATCATCCCCATCATCCCCATCATTCCCATCATCCCCAATCCCAATCCCACCATTCCCATTTTTCCCGCCATTCCCATTTTTCCCACCATTCCCACATTCCCCAGTGCTGCATCGACGATTCCCTGCCCCTGCTCTGGCTGCTCCTGGACCCTGAAATCCCATCCCCAACCCCTTCATCTCCATCATTCCCATCATTCCCATCATTCCCAATCCCAATCCCATCATTCCCACCATTCCCATTCCCATTTTTCCCCCCATTCCCCAGTGCTGCATCGACGATTCCCTTCCCCTGGTGCTGCTGCTCCTGGACTCGGGCGCCGCCGTCAACGCGCGCGACGCCGAGCTCTGGACGCCGCTCCACGCCGCCGCCACCTGCGGCCACCTGGGCCTGGTGCAGCTGCTCATCCAACGGTACCTGAGGAGGNCCGACCTGGATGTGCCCCGGGGACACGGGGCCACCTTGGTGGGTGCAGGTGACACCGGCAGGGGTTTGAGGTGACACTGGGGGTCACTGGGAGGGTCGGGGTGACACTGGGAGGGGTTTGAGGTGACACTGGGAGTCACTGGGAGGGGTTTGGGTGACACTGGGGGTCACTGGGAGGGGACTGGGTGACACTGGGAGGGGTTTGGGTGACACTGGGGGTCACTGGGAGGGGTTTGAGGTGACACTGGGGGTCACTGGGAATGTCAGGGTGACACTGGGAGTCAGTGGGAGGGACTGAGGTGACACTGGGAGGGGACAGGGTGACACTGGGGGTCACTGGGAAGATCAGGGTGACACTGCAAGTCACTGGGAGGGGTTTGAGGTGACACTGGAAGTCACTGGGAGAGACTGGAGTGGCACTGGGAGGAGTTTGGGTGACACTGGGGGTCACTGGGAAGGTCAGGGTGACACTGGGAGGGGTTTGGGTGACACTGGGGGTCACTGGGAGGGGTTTGAGGTGACACTGGGGGTCACTGGGAGGGGTTTGGGGTGACACCGGGAGGGGTTTGGGTGACACTGGGGGTCACTGAGAAGGATTTGAGGTGACACTGGGAGGGGATTGGGGGGACACTGGTGACACTGGGAAGGTCAGGGTGACACTGGGAGTCACTGGGAGGGACTGAGGTGACACTGGGAGGGGATTGGGATGACACTGGGTGTCACTGGGAAGGTCAGGGTGACACTGCAAGTCACTGGGAGGGGTTTGAGGTGACACTGGGGATCACTGGGAGGGTCAGGATGACATTGGGAAGGTCAGGGTGACACTGGGGGTCACTGGGAGGGTCAGGGTGACACAGGGAGGGGTTTGAGGTGACGCTGGGGGTCACTGGGAGGGTTGGGGTGACACTGGGAGGGGTTTGGGTGACACTGGGGGTCACTGGGAGGGGTTTGAGGTGACACTGGGGGTCACTGGGAGGGATTGGGGTGACACTGGGAGGGACTGGGGTGACACTGGGGGTCACTGGGAGGAACTGGGGTGACACTGGGAGGGAATTGGGGTGGCACTGGTGACACTGGGTGAGTGTCCCCATGCCCTGGTGACACTGAGAGGGTCAGGGTGACACCAGGAGTCCCTGGGAGGGATTTGAGGTGACACTGGGAGTCACTGGGAAGGTCAAGGTGACACTGGGAGTCACTAGGAGGGGATCAGGGTGACACTGATGGTCACTGGGAGGCTAAGGGTGACACTGGGTGGGATCAGGGTGACACTGGGAGTCACTGGCTGGGAATTGGGGTGGCTCTGGTGACACCGGGAGGCTCAGGGTGACATTGGGAGTCACTGGGAGGGTCAAGGTGACACTGGGAGTCACTGGGAGGGGATCAGGGTGGCCCTGGTGACATTGGGAAGATCAGGGTGACACTGGGAGCCACTGGGAGGGTCGAGGTGACACTGGGGGTCACTGGGTGAGGGTCCCCATGGCCCTGGTGACACTGGGAGGGTCGAGGTGACACTGGGGGTCACTGGGAGGGGATCAGGGTGACCCTGGTGACACTGGGAAGATCAGGGTGACACTGGGAGGGGATCAGGGTGACCCTGGTGACATTGGGAAGATCAGGGTGACGCTGGGGGTCACTGAGAAGGATTTGAGGTGACACTGGGGGTCACTGGGAGGGGATCAGGGTGACACTAGGTGTCACTGGGAGGGACTGGGGTGACACTGGGAGTCACTGGGGGGGTCAGGGTAGCCCTCGTGACATTGGGAAGATCAGGGTGACCCTGGTGACACTGGGAAGATCAGGGTGACACTGGGAGGG